GCCCTATCACAGGAGATGCGAATTTCTGGATGAAACAAATAAACTGCTTCCTAGTAGGGAGGAAGTAGGCAGACACCCCCGGAGCTCACTGTTGATCTAACCCTCCAGGGTTTCCTATACTTCCCACGGATCCAGCTGGAATGGAAAGGAAGGTAGGGGTGCCCATCCATGGGTGCCAGAGAGTCAAGGCTAGGAAAGGGGGGGGGGATTAAGAGGGCAAAAGGAAGAAAATTATCATGCATGCACCATTTCACTTACTCCTCACTAAGATTTCATGAGATAGGCCATTTTATTGTCTTCCTCTTATAAAAGAGAAAATGAAGGGGAGAGCATTTAAGAGTCAACAATCTTGTAAAATTCCAAGCTGAAAAATCAAGTGAATCTTAAAGAACAGAGCTGGGATTTGAACTCAGTCCTATCTGACTGGATTTCCCCATTACAATTAAGAATAATTTAGGTTAGGGGCTGTGGTGCTAGGACCAGAATTTAGATGGTGAGAGGTATCAAAGCCTGTTTGGCCAGGATTGGCCACGTGGAAGGCAAGTTTCTTAACCTCTGTACTATCTCCAGGGCTTTTAATAGATTTTTTAGAGTATTTGAAAGAGGTGTAATTCCTTTTATTTTATTGATGTGTTTTTTTTACTCTGTTCCTTCCCTCTGTGGACGTTGTTGCAATGACTGAGGGTCACACACAAGCTTGGTTGTGATGCTCACACATTTAGTTGTGGTGCTTGCCTGGGTCACACATCAAGTGTTAGGTGCATGGCTCTGACACAAGCTGAATGCCTGAAAATGAGGGCTGTCAAGCCTCTGTCTCCTAGGACTACCTTTATAAACTATACAAATTTATTTTTCTATTCATTTTATTTATTTATTCAGTTTATTTGTTTTTAACTATATAACTAGCTTTATAAACTATCTTCTGATTACCTTTCATATCCTGATGTTATGTTTCGTATCCTTATTGGAGGAGGAGTCAAAAATCTGAGTAGCAAAGAACTATTTGGAAATCAAATGAAATAACTCAGAGAAAACGTTCTGAGGTGTTCAGACTGAAAAAAAATATTTTCTAAGGTCTTGGAGCTGGTTACTGTAGCTGGGCATTAACCAATGTCTTTCTGAAAATGGGGTTTGACTCTTAAACAAAGGTGTTTTTGTTTGCTTGCTTTGTTTTTGTGCTTCATTTTGGAAGACCATGTTCTGATGATCAATGCAAGAACTCATTTATTTATGTATTTTGCCTATTCTAAACACAGTCCTTTGCACCATACAAGAAATACTCTCAGAGAGAGAGAGAGAGAGAGAGAGAGAGAGAAAGGTGCCTTCTTCCATAGAGGCATACTGGGGGTGGGGATGGGTGGTGGGAGGGAAACTGGGGTCATTGGTGGTGGGAAATGTACAATGATGGAGGTATGGGTTTGGAACATTGTATGATGAAACCTGATTATGAACAGCTTTGTAACTGTCTATCTCATGGTGACTCAGTTAAAAAAATTAATTCTGTGTCAACTAACTGCACACATGCTCACAAGCACACACATGGGCTCACACATGTATATTGATTCACTTTGCCATCCACCTCTTTGTTTCTCTTTTCCTACTTCTAGGCCACCATTATGAAGAACAAAATGCACAATGCATATAAACCATTTTTTCACCTTTGAGTAACTATTGTTGCTTTACAACTTTATCTCTGCTTTAATTACCAGATTTCACACCCTCTAGAATACACTGTTCTTGGAAAACGGCAGCACCTTATCTCTTTAATAAACTTGTGACTAGCACATAAAATATCTCCAAATAGTAATTTATTTTTAGATCATTTGAAAATGATTCATTGCCCACATATATTACAAGTTAATGAATCTGTAGGCTAATCACTTTTGCCAATCCATTTACCCATATGGATTGTGTTCTAAAAGTTCATTAATATGTTTATTGGCTTGTTTCTATGTTCTATTATTATTATACCATGTTATATAATATGATGTTTAATGACAATGGGTATTGATAGCAGTAATAATAATTGCCACAATTTGGGTACCAAGTGCTTTGTATACATCATTTCTATTTTCACAGCAATTCTTGCAAGGTAGATACCAATTTTATAGATGAAACTGACTCAAGGTAAGGAGTTTCATTTTTTTTTTTGCTTTTTGGGTCACACCCGGCGATGCCCAGGGGTTACTCCTGGCTCATGCACTCAGGAATTACTCTTGGCAGTGCTCGGGGGACCATATGGGATGCTGGGAATCGAACCCGTGTCGGCCATGTTGGCTGCGTGCAAGGCAAACGCCCTACCTGCTGTGCTGTCGCCCCAGCCCCAGGAGTTTCATTTTAAGAGCACACAAAATCATGGGGTTGGAGAGACAGTACAGGGAGTAAGGTACTTGCTTTGCACGTTGCTGTCCCTATTTAGATCCTTGGCACCACATATAGTCCTTAAGTACCATTGGTAGTGATATCTGAGAACAAAGCCAGAAATAGCCTCTGAGAACGACCAAGTATAGCCCACCCCCACACCCCTTTTATGAGCACTCCAAGTCAAATGCATTTCTTGGCCCGGTGGTAGCTCATGCTGAAAGGGCAATGACAGACCACCCATTCCCTCCTTTGCAATCTCCTTTCTCCTCCTTTTACCAGACACAGCTGGTAGCTACAGATGGTTGCTTAACTCAGTGCCAGCCAATCCTTGTTGCAGCCTGGTTTGAGAAGTGAGCTCAGCCAGTCTGACTTGCCTGTAGGAATTTGATTTGGGAAGCACAAAAAGAAACAGTAAGTTGGTAGGCGTCAGAACTGTGGGTGAAGAACTTGGAAAAAGTGTCTGGGACGGAGGACATGTAGGGTCATATTCCAGCCAAGTGTATAATAGAGAGGTAGAAGGCAAACAGAGACGTTGATATAGTGGAAGGAAGGCTCTAGAATATGTGACAGTAGGACAAAAAGAATCACATACAGAGAGCAACCAGCTTGGTACAAGGCACTTGGGGACAAGATTCTGCCCCTCTCGAATCCCCTATGTCATTTCTGTGCCAGGGTAGCCTTAAAATAATCCATCTCTTGAGCTAACTTTAGTGAGTGTCGGTTCCTTTCAACCAGAAGAGCCAAATTATAACACAGTGTGTATGAGCTAAAGAGGGAACTTGAACCCTAGTTTTGTGAGTATGGAATTTATGCTCTTGTTACACTGCTTTGCCACATTGTGCATGCTGCTTTGGCTCACCATGGCCCACAAGATTATTTCAATATATTTGAGAAGGGGCCAATTTCTGATATATTTTCTCCAAATCTTGTTGTTTAGTCAAAGCCCTGAGCTGAAGGGTGGGGGTGAAGAAAGTCTCAGGTGTGACTGGAAGGATAGTTTGAAGGGCTAAGTACATGCTTTGCATGCTGGAGGTCCAGGTTCAATGCATGGCACCACATGATTCTGTGAGCACCATTAGAAGCAACCCCTGAGCACTGAGCAGTGAGTAGCCCCTGAGCACCCCAAGTGTGGCTCAAAAAATAGCTCTAAAAGAGAAAGAATAAAAAATCACCAGCAACTGGGAGGCCTCCAACCCCCCTCAGTGCAGATGCCAGCTTTCTGGGCAGAAGGTGTTACCACGGGGAGAAGGTTGGAAGGAACCTGGGGATCGATTCTTCGAAGGGCAGTGGAAAAGGGGAATCTTCCAAGGAAGAGTCTCTCCAAACACCAAGGATGATGTACTGATGAACATGGTAATGACATAGTTCAAAGATGACGAATGGGATTGCTCTGGATTGCACTTGCCCTCTTGACAAAAATACCACTGGCTTTGTCTTCCTCTCTCTGGAGAGAGTGAAGTTTTCCTTTTAAGAGGCACACTAAAAAATGCAGAGCCACTTCCTGGGCAGACGTCCAAGTGACTGCATCTCTCACAAGCTCCCCAGAGCCCTAGCCCAGGCTGCCTGGGGCGGGGCCTCCAGCATTGAAGGCTGCCGGAGCTACCAGGGGAACAGTTATCAGCAGTCGGCCAGAATGCTGGGTTTTCGGGCCCTCCCAGGACATAGATAAGAGACGTCAGAGTCTGTGATTGGCCAGGCTGCCGTGTGTGAAATACAGATGTCTGTCAGTCATCTGAGTATGGCATTCCTGTCTGCTGAGTGCCCCCGGGAGTGGGTAAGTCTAAATGTTTCAAGTCTGCCCTCCCTGGTTGTAAAATGCTTCAAGCTCTGCATTGTGGCTTTCTGATGCCATGACTTAGCATCTTTCTTAATATTGCTGAGCCTCAGTTTCCTTTTCTGTAACCAAGAACATTCTCCTTTGCTGTATATAGAGGAATAGGATACTTAGAGCAAGAGAGATGTCTCTGACTTTTATGGGGTGTTGTGAGGCCTGAAGGATGGCACATCTGGGGTACCTCACTGGTATCTAGGCAGTGAAGTGGTACAAGTGACATGATTTCTGGAGGTCACTGGCAATGGCCCTATTTTCATTTATAATAGGACAATTAGTCCTATTATAAATCAAATAGATGATTCAAATAGATGATTCAGCAGCATATATTCTATACTTTTATGGTGTTGGGGTTTCAGACTACACCTGGTGGTGCTCAGGGCTTACCCTGGCTCTACACGCAGGGATCACTCCTGGTGAGACTTGGGGGACAATATGTGGTGTCAGGAATCAAACCCAAGTTGACAATGTTCAAGGCAAGTTCCATACTTGCAGTACTGTCTCTTTGGTCGTATATTATACTTCTTTGTTTTTCCTTTTTGGGTCACACCCGGCGTTGCACAGGGTTTACTCCTGGCTCATGCACTCAGGAGTTACTCCTGGCAGTGCTCGGGGGACCATACGGGATGCAGGGAATGGAATCCGGGTTGGCCACATGCAAGGCAAACACCCTTCCTGCTGTGCTATCTCTCCAGCCCCTACTTCTCCATCATACGTGTGTATTCAACCTAAATCTAAGCTTGGGGGGACTTCGTATGCCCGAAAGATTTGCGAGACTATATTCCTTTTATCATTTTCTTTCTAGACCCTGACTGCTCCAGCCCCTTTTTCGGATGAAACCAGCTGCCAGTGCCTCGCACCCCATGAGAAACTGACCATTGCGCAGGCCCGCTTAGGAACACCAGGTGAGGCTTCAATTCTCCTTGGAAGGGTCAGTGTCTTGACACCTAAATGAGCAGAATTGCCCGCCATCATTGGAGCAATGTTCACGCTTAGAGGTGAACTCATGTAGAGATTATAGCACAGCCGAAGAAAAATAAACTTCCTGCAGTGGTAAACTAGAAAAGCTTCGCTAGCCAAGTCAAAGATGTAATGGGATGGGGCTGGGGCAATAGTACAGTGGGTAAGGTGCTGGCCTGGCCGGAGGCTAATTCGGCTTCAATACTCTGTACCTTATATGGTCCCCTGAGCACAGAGCCAGGAATAAGCCCTGTGCACTGCTGGTTGTGGCCCCCAAACAAACCAAAAAATGGAATGGAATACCTGCCTTAAAGCTCAGCACTGTTACTCACTTATTCTGTTGCCTTGGACAAATCTCAGGAATGATTTGAATCTATTTTTTCATGTACAGCACAGGGACAATGATGCCAGCCTCATAAGGTTTGTGGGACAATTTGATTTGGTTTCAAACACCAAAGTTTCTGGTTTTATTTAAAAAATGGTGCCAGAAACAAAATCCAGGGCCTCACATACAAGGCAAATACTCTACCACTGAACTATATCTTCTGCTGCCAAAGAATTTTTATTGCAGGGCAAGCATACCTGGTGGTGCTGAGAATGTAATTCCTGGTTCTGTGTTTTAGGGGTCATTCCTGGTGGTGCTTGGGGGACTATATCTAACGCAAGGGAGCAAACCACGGTGATGGGTATGGTGTTGGAATTATGTGCATGAGAAACAACTATTAACAGCATTTAAAACCACAGAATCTCAATTAAAAAAACCAGGGTTGGCCACACAGAAGGCAAATATCTTAACCCCTGCACATCTCTCTGGCTCCCCAAAGGGGTTTTTAAATTATGAAGGCTTTTACAAACCTAAGAGAGCTACTATCATCATTTTAAAATTCTTGAAAATGGTGTTGGAGCATTGTATACTTGAAACTCTTTGATGAACAACTTTGTAAATCATAGTGCCTCAATTAAAACCTTAAAAAATTAATTCTTACCATTATTTGGGGTGTGGGCCACTCCTGGTGGTGCTCAGGGACTGCCCCTGGCTTTTAGGGATCATTCTGGCAGTTCTCAAAGGATTCTATGTGGTTCCAGGGATGAAACTAGGATCAGTCACCTGCCAGTCAAGCGCCTTACCCCCACACCATTTCTCAAGCACCTTTTTACCCATTCTTAAATATCTTTTTCATTTTTTTAAAATTTATTCTTTTTTTTTGCTTTTTGGGTCACACCCAGCGATGCACAGGGTTTACTCCTGACTCTGAAGTCAAGAGTTACTCCTGGTGGTGCTCAGGGGACCATATGGGATGCTGGGAATTGAACCCAGGTCGGCCACATGCAAGACAAACACCCTACCCGCTGTGCCATTGCTCCAGCCCCAAATCTCTTTTTTAAAAGTGTCACAAATTGTCCCTTAGCTTAAAGAAACTGGGCTGTGCACTAAGAGTTTGTTCACTGATTCACTCCTATAGCATATGTCAGAGAATGGATAGGAGGAACTGCAAAGAAGCACCATAAGGTATATCTCTATTTTCCCACAGTGTCTGCTACAATTAAAGAGACGAAACAACTACCATGAAATAAGACCTACTTAGCAAGCATACATGTACTTAGGGGGTTAAAGCCTGCTGCAGAAATGCTTACCTGGCAGTTTGGAGAAGAGTAGAGTCATTTGTCCTGGAGTAGTCAGGGGACACCTGGTAGCAGACCACAGCTGATCCTGCTGAGAAAAGTAAGACTTGGACTATGTGAGCAGAAAATGGAAGTGTATTCTAGGCAAGTGGAGCAGGAATAGTGAAGGCATCATGACAGAGAACTCTGTAGGAGTAAATGAGTGATGCTTTAGTTCATTAGGACAGAGTGAAAACTACAATGAATTTGGTAGGTAAGCTTTGAGTCATGTATGATAATATAACTCAGTGGTTTCCATTCACCATTTGAAAAAACAAATACCTCAAATTCAACAGAATCTGTGGGACAAAGGGCCATAGACTTCTTTGCTGTTATTATTAACTGCTATCAGTGGATATTTATTAAGTGCATACTATGTACTTAGTGCTTCATTTTTATTATGTCATTTAAATGCCACAACTCTATGTGATTAGTGGTTTTAATATTTTGCAGGTGAGGAAGTAAAGGCTTGAGAGAAGTGTGAATCTGTACTAGGTAATTCAATTAGTGTCTGTAGTTCTCACACTTGGGCCTGTGTCAGAATCTCCTGGAGGTTGTATTAAAATACAAAGATTTGAAGCCTCTGTAGAGTCTGGAGTTTCTTAGTCCACCTGGGAAAGGTCCTGGGAGTTTGATTCTCTACCAAGTTCCCAGGTAATGCAGTGACTGGTGGACCACATTTTGAGCTGGGATTAGATTGCAAACCTGCTGATGTTTCAGCTTGATCTCTGAACCATGACGTTCTCCCTCCTCTTTTAGGCATGTATGAGCAGACAAACGTAGTGTTTTTGTGTAGCTCAGACTTGTGATTCTTAGACTTCAGAGTGTACAACATCACCTTGTAAATGTATTAAAGTAGTGGGTGTTCTGGTCTCGCCAGCAGGTCAATCTGTACTTGTGAGGCGAGTGCAGCAGCAGCCTGATGGTGCCTTCAGACTTCTAGATACCCCAAAATTGCTGCTGTGCCTTTGGCCAGACCCCAACAACTTGGGGCCAAGTTTACCAAGAAAGTAAATGGCCGAAAGTTAAGTATGTGGGAGACATACCCACAAACCACATCTGGCTCAGCTATATAATTGGAGGCAAGGACTCTCTGGTTCCTGATCAAACTACTTAATAGCCATGATCCCAGAGACTCATAAACAATTTTTAAAAATTTTTTAATAGTGAGACATCATGAGGTACAGTTGCAGACTTACACATTTTTGTGCTTGGGTTTCAATTATACAATGATCAAATACCCATCTCTCCACCAGTGCCCATTTCCCACCACCACGGATCCCAGTATCCCTCCCACCCCCATCCCCCCCATCACCCCCTGCCTCTGTGGCAGGGCATTCCCTTTTGTTCTCTTTCTGTTATTGGGTGTTTTGGTTTGCAAAAGAGGCAATGGGTGACAATCATGTTTAGTCTATAATCTACTTTCCGCATGCTTCTCCCGTCCTGGGAGGATCCTCCCAACACCTTTATTTGGTGTTCCCTTCTCCATCTGAACTCCCTTTTCCCCTAGTATGTGTGGTTGGCCTCCAAGCCATGGAGTAAAATTCTTGGTACTAATCTCAGCCATTCTTGGGTGTTAGTCTCCTATTTTGTTACTTTATGTTCCCCAGATGAATGCAATCTTTCTATGTCTATCCCTCTCTTTCTGACTTATTTCGCTAACATGATACTTTCCACGTAGTACCACTTGTATGTAAATTTCGTGACTTCATCTTTTCTAACAGCTACATAGTACTCCATTGTGTAAATGTACCAAAGTTTCTTTAACCAGTCATCTGTACTTGGGCACTCAGGTTTTTTCCAGATTCTGGCTATTGTAAAGAGTGCTGCAATGAACAGACAATTGCAGATGTCACTTCGACTATACTTTTTTGCCTCTCTGGGATATATTCCCAGGAGTGGTATTGCTGGATCAAATGGGAGCTCAATTTCTAATTTTTTGAGAATCGTCCATACTGTTTTCCAAAAGGGCTGAACCACAAAAAGAAAACACTCAATCCCATCAAAAAATGGGGAGATGAAATGAATAGAAACTTTCACAAAGAAGAAATCCGAATGGCTATAAGGCACATGAGAAAATGCTCCACATCATTAATCATCAGGGAGATGCAGATCAAAATCACAATGAGATATCATTTCACACCACAGAGACTGGTCCATATCCACAAGAACAAAAGCAACCGGTGCTGGCGCGGATGTGGTAAGAAAGGGACACTCCTTCACTGTTGGTGAGAAACAAATTTTTGAACCCAGCAGCTTTTGGCAGAAATGCATCTGGTCCCCGAAGTAGGTTACCAGCAACAGGCCAACCCGGGGGGGGGGGGGGGGGGAAGGGTGCTGTCCCTCCACCTGCTCCCTCTTGGCAGTTTGGTGGCCGCCATCCTCCAGAGGCCATTGGACAGTCAGGTTTGGGTCGGCAGTGATGAGATACACAGGACCTCACAGGATGGGGATGGAGCCGGCCCTTTCCTCCCTGCACCAATGTAGCCGGCCCTTTCCTCCCTGCACCAACGAGACCCCAAGTCGCTGCCCAAAATCGGCCTTTCTGGCTCCTGATCAAGCTGCTTAACGGCCATGATCCCAGAGATTCAGGAACAAATCTTGGAACCCAGCAGTTTTTGGCAGAAATCCCTCCAGATTTAATTGTTAAAATTTTGAAATTCCAAAATTGTGCAGCCACTATTGTGGCTGCATGACATCATATTACGTTTGCAATCTAATCTAATCAATTGGGTTTCAATTGTATAATTGAAACCCAAGCACAACATAATAAAAACATAATAGAAAATTATGATTTTCTATTCATAATCAGCAATAGAAAACAAATTGTCTATGGTTGCCTTTTCGGCAGATTTGAGTGTTAAAGTTCCAAATAATAATGGTGGGTCTGGTGTTGAAATATTGAATGCAATCAAAGTAGAGAGAGTAATGTGGAAATCATCTGCCGCACAGGTAAGGGGAGGGTGTGGGATGGGGGGTACACTGGAATTTTTGGTGGTGGAAAATGGGCACTGGTGAAGAGACGGGTGTTCCATCATTATATGACTGAGACTTACACCCAAAAACTTTGTAAATGCTCTGACGGGGATTCAATAAATAAATTTATAAAAAGGGAAAAAAGTAAGGTGTAGTTCATGCCCAATTCAATCAGCCTAATCAATGGCTGAATTAATAGCAATACTCCTACTTAAAAAAAATAAAGTTAATGATCTACAAACCATACAGTCGGAAAAGCTGATCCAGAAATAAATCCAAAGTCTAGGTGATATATGAAGAGGACAAA